TTCACACAATTATACAATTATACATCACACAAAAAACTAAATATATAATTGATGTAATAAATCATTTATATACATATGTACTTACTTTATGAATCTCTTACGCATTCGAATAACAAAAACAAAGATTTGTTATTTGTTAACGGCTCATTTGTTGTTTGTATATATTTTTTATATGAAACATATAGCAAATATTTAAAATTTCGATAATTTCCCTTATGGGAAATTTATTTTTAATTTTTCTTACTTTATTTTTAAGTAAGTTAAAAAGCATTGAAGAAGCTTATATGGTTAATAAAATTCATTTAGTACTAAATAGGCAGTGGAAATATACTGTAAAAAGGAAATTTGCATATCTCAATATTTTTAGATTCATGCACCGCTCCGGTTAAATCGTTTGTTAACACCTCAGCTGTTGTTTGTTTATATCTTACACATGAAACATATGACAAATATTTAAAATTTCGAAAATTTCCTTTGTGGGAAATTCATTTTTATTTTGGTCTAATTTTTCTTACCTTATTTTTAAGTAAGTTAAAAAGCATTGAAGCTCTTTATTATATTATTATATAGTTAATAAAATTCCACTAAGCAGTGGAAATATAATATAAAAAATTAATTTACATATCTCAATATTTTTAAATTCACGCACTGGTCCGGTTAAATTATGAAACACATCCAGAACACAAAACAAACTTTATTTTCTAAAGGATTCTGCGGAAACCCTAGCAAACTCAGTAGAGCCACAAACATTTTAAAATTGCACTTGATAGAGTTTTAACTTTGCTTTGCAGTTGTTTTGTTTCATATTTTTTACATTAAACTTTCTGTTTCTGCTTTTGTTATTCGTTTTCATTATTGTTTGCCATAGTTTTTTTTTTGCCCCAAACCTGCTATAGCGGCGAACTCGCAAGCATCGCTGCTAATTTAAATTTGCTCGACTATTTTTGAATCTTAACTGCTTTCTATTTCGTCTTTCCTCTTTCTTCTTCCATGTATTGTAGTTCGAACTGATATTGAAGCGCTTAGTTTATACTAGATGACTTGCCTTGCTTTTGCTTGGCTTTTGCTTGGCTTTCTTATACTCGTATTTGGTTATGCTTTGCATTGCTTTGGTATTTACACGTGCCGCTCACTTTAATTAAAATTGCTATATTGCGCTCTTGTTATGCTCTTTTGTTGTTGTTAGTGTTAGTGTTGTTGTTATTGTTGTGGTTGGTTCATAATAAAACTGAGTGAAATTGTGAAAAAAAAGGAAAAACATAACAGAACAATAAGAAGAAGACAAGAGTGTACTTCATGTTATTGTCATTGTTGTTGGTTGTTCTTTCTGTTGAAAGCACAAATACAATTGCATAGGAAAAATGTTATTGGCTTCCCAGCAGTAAATAGCAACTTTTTTGCTGCAATCTGGAGTTGCTGGAGTTTTCTTTGCAACTTTTCATGGTTTTGCTCATTTCCAATTTTAATTTGTTAATGGAAAATATGAAGTGGGAAAGTGTGGAGCACACTTTCGACTTTTAAGTTTTCGGTTAAATTTTCAACTGCAATGCATGCAAAGTGTTGCCAACTGTTGCTGTTGCAGTTGGCAATCATTTTAAGGCAATTTCGCATTAATGAGCAACACCAACAAATTTGACTGAGTTTTTAAGTGCTTCACTGCAAAATTATTTAAATGAAAAATAATTTTAAATAAAGAAGACTTGCAATTATTCAAGGCGCAATTCAAAAAGTTTTCCATTCTGTTGCCGTACAGTGAAAATTTATTTTGACAAAAATGTTCGAGTTTTAAAACTCCACTTTAACACATCAAATTTGAGCATTGAGCTATGAACCACTAGAGTATGAATTTAAATGACACCCCAACTGGTTTAAGTATCATAGTTTTATCTCTGGAATCACTTTTACCAACAAGCATTCTTATAAATATTAAATTTGATCTACTCGATTCAAAGTCAACTGCCATTCAAATGTGTGTCGAAATGTAGTATGTATCTGCCCTTATGGTAGATACGATCTACTCGATTCAAAGCTAACTGCCATTTACATGTATGTTGACATTGTAGTATGTATCTACCCTTGGGGTGAAATAAAATCCCTGCACATAAAGTCAAATTATGACACACCATTTTTAATCAGCGGTTAAAACTACGTAGATGTCAGCTACTTTAATTGTTAAATGTCCTATCAACCGTCCATAACACTAAGCATGACATTACAAATCGTATATAAATTGACTGTAAATGCTGAGTTGCGATATACATAGCATGAAATCTATATAAACACTTATAGTTAAATCCAAACATTTAATACCTACAAAAAATCGGTTTTTTCTTAAAGACTCAGTTTACCGTAGGAACTTAAGAGAACTTCAGCCAAAGCGAAATACACAACCAACCCTGTTTTTGATAGGAACGAAATAATTTAAGTTCACCGCTTTACTTTATTTCATTCCTATCCAATACACAGGCGTGGTTGGTTGTGCATTTCCTTTTGACTTAACTTCTAACGGTACGTACCGACTAACTAAGCCTTATGGCTCTCATACAGAACTATGAATAGTAAAACAAAAGATTACATACTTTAAAAAGCAAATTCTGCTCAATATTCTCCAAATATGTGACCTCACACAACTACGAGTTCGAAAATATTGAGTATTACCAAAGCAGCAGCGTCTTAATATTGAAATAAAAGAACGTAAGGTGGTTTGGATAGATTATAATCCTACCGCGTCTAATTGAAACCAACGAGGTGCAAAGCATTGTTCTTACAGAAAACTTACTGAAGCTTCTAAAAACGAAAATGAAAATAAAAACAACTATTAAAACTACTCTCTATGCACTTTATTTTCATACTCAAGCACGCCGACTTGGAACCAACAAAATGCAATACATAATTCTAGACCTCTGAAATTGGACAAGTGCTTAATGAGCTCAAACAAAAATCGCGTAATCGATCGAACTGATCTTCCATAAAATCTTCAAGCTCTTAAAACTAATAAGAAAATCACAATATTTCTTTTATTGCAACTATTCTCTATATATTTTGTTTTTATTTAACTATATACATATATGTGAGACCTTAGGGTAAACACACTACTTATCGACGTCTATCTCTTTTTTCGAGTATATAGATTAAAAACAACAGCAGCACAAAACGTATTTGTCAACAGTTCTAGGCTAACGAGTACTTTTTATATATCAGAGACCAAAATCTGTCTCAAGATCTTCGACGTCCTTAGCAGATATCTGTGTGCTCTTTCTGGTTACTCTACCATCTGAAAGCTTAAGCTGAACCCAGATAAAATATACTCCACTTACCAAACGAAGGAATTTAGAATTTTTAATCTGAATTTGTCTATTAATGCTACACCAAGTCTGTAATTTTAGAATTTGAATGTCACCAAAGCATTCTGAGTCGAATAAAAAAATTTCGCACACTCATAACTTATACTTTTATGTTTGGATCCAAAAAGAATAGATACTCTTTCCTTAGATTTTATTATATCGAACAAAAACTTACTTTTAGCA